AAGCAACCAAATTTGTAGATCTTGCATGGTCATCTAAAATACTCACTTACATCCAAGCCGGTGGTCAGTGAGAGCGTGTTTTCCGATATTACTTATTCAACGAAAGAACTTATTTTAATCCAAAAGTAGTGGTAATTTAAACAAAGGGAAACGTTTGAACCCCGGGGTGTGAACCAAACAGTTTCCACACCTAGGCTAACTAAGAAAAAAGAGAACTACGTGGAAGTAAAGTGTAATTTTATTTTTATTATTTCGAACTGCTAGAAATTATGATAACTTGAATGTAGAGTGATTAAAACAGGTTATGGGTGGTGACGTTTTGGGCCCAAACTGAGCTGGTTCCACCTAGTCTGGACCCACTCGTCTGACCAGGTTACATTCTTACACCTCAAATCACATTATCATTTGAAGATGACAACGATTCGAACTCGACCACACCAACCGTGAATAGTCGTCACCACGTGAAGTTGAATGCGATATTCACATACTGATTAATTGTGAATGTTTAAGTAAGCTGTGCTTTTATGCGGGGTGATTTACATTTTCGTTCATGCAGATGAAAAATAGCCGAAATCCTCCGCCTCGTCTATACGTGTAGGTGATTGCGTTATCAAGCTGGTTCATGATCGAATCTCTCACACGCGGCTGACTTCAGTCAGCACTCACAGAAGGAGCAAACGACCGAGATCGTACGTGTGTGTTTGATGTCTGATGAACACACGGAGGCGGTTGAAAGCCAGTGGGATCACAAACGTAAATCGCGGATAATGGTGTGACTACAAAATCGGTGTTTATATAGCTCTTAGATCAAATAGACGCCTCCGTTGCGAGACAGACCGTTCTATTTTCGTTATTCTAGGGTTGTCATGTGACATCAGAGATGCATTTAGTGTGACTTGGAATTAACTTCCGTATAAAACGCATTGAAGTGATTATCGGGTCGGGGATACACTTAATCACAAGCCCTGGTAAAAGTAAAGGCAAGTATTCGAATATTAGCACTTTTGATTGTTTGAAGACAGATATTTGATTCAGCCCCTGTCTAAACAGAATGCAGTTCACTTTTCAAATGGGTCATCAATCATAATCGGTCAATCGATTATTCTCCTCCTCTCTAGCCCCCTTGCGTTCAAGTAATAGTTAAACGCGGCACAATTAGAACAAACGACGGCGGGGGAGGGTACAGAATCTTGACAGAGAGAGAGAGAAGTTCCCAACAATCGGCAAGTGTGTCCGGCACTCATTCGTGGGTCTGAATCTCAAAGGGGCTTCTGATCTTTTCACAATTCGGATAAAACCTTATGGTCATCTATTGTTTAACAAGACCATATGGGTCGCTTCATTGCATTTAGCCACTCGGAGCGGTCCCATTTCGATAGTGATAATTTTGACCCATGCACAAAAATATCGGTCCATAATGATATCTATTTCACTTCTGAGGCACACGGAGGTGACGCAACGATGGCTGCCAAATCCGTGTATCTCTCACAGTCTGTCTGTGCCTCATGATCTGGGTGGGCTGGACGTCATCCACAATTACTGCTAATCAATTGCTTTTACGTTGGCGTTTGTTTAAAATTAAACAGCTTGTTTAACGCAGATAGAAGTCTATTTATTTTATTTTCATTTCGCACTTACTCGTGAGTAATGCTGGTAGCTAAGTGTTATTGATCTGCATTTTTACCTGCTCAAGTCAAGGAATGGCTTTATGCACCCCGAGAGGTGGATATTCAGCAACCACATAACCATAGCGTGTTAAAAATACGTAAAACACAATATGATACAGCAGTTAAAAGGGTGTGAAAAGGGACAGCAACAACCAAAATGAGTGGCACACCTGGGTGTTCATGAGGGATTTAGTGTAGTGTTAGACGCACATTTCCCGAGGTCTTGATTTTTTAGAAATCTGGCGCGATAAAGAACAACAGACCACCTGTAAGCTTCAGTGCGAGTCTTTATGAATTTGTGAGTGGAACGGGTGGATGAGTGAGAAAGGCAGTGGCTAAGAGAGGAATAAAGAGGATGGGAGATATCAGATAAAATCTTATTAGAGAATGTTTTACAGGACNTGGTATGAGACTACAAACGGAGTGAAATCTGAGGGATCGGGAAATGAGTTTGAGATTGGCAACTTGTCTCCAAATGTTTCATCACCAACCGAGGTGGTCTACAGTAAAGATGTTAACTCGACTGATGGCATATTTACAAGCAAATTGCTACGCTCAGGGAACAGATAAAGATGAATCCAATCCACCGGAGCTACGTGAACCGGGTTTCAATAATTGGTCCAAGGCAATAATTTTGAGCTACTTTCTCTCTTGAATTTCGTGTTTACACACCATCACTAGTTCACGCGATATATATATATATATATATATTACAATAAGTAGTATGTGAGTGACTGGACAAAATTCCGATGGAAGCACACGACCGGTTTCGCGGTTCTTGCCGCTCTTCAGGGATGCGTATCCGGTAATCTTTTGCCAGTTCATTCATATACTTGTAAAAACGAAGTCTACTTTCGCCACAATAACCTTGTTTGCAACACCGGATGACTTTTTGGATAGACAGCTCTTTCAGAGTTAGTCCATAGAAGAACCAATGCTATGATTCAATGTTTTGTAGGTGATATGTAGATGATACTAACCGCAACAAACGTGACTTGATATATATATATATATATTGTTACTTTGTACATAACTATACAGGTATTCGATGGTTTCGCTGATTAGAACATTGGTGAAGAGCGAACTAACGTCCAGTGAAAACACTGTCCGACCCATCAAGTTTAAGTCGCGAATGCTGTTCGCAAAAATGAATGTGTCTCGTACGCTGTTTCCCTAGTCCAATTCTTAGATATGTATATATATCAAGAGAGAACAGCTCAAATTATTGCTTTGGACGAATTATTGAAACCCGGTTCACGTAGCTCCAGTGGATTAGATTCATCTTTATCTGTTCCCTGAGCGTAGCAATTTGCTTGTAAATATGCCATCAGCCGAGTTAACACCTTCACTGTTCCGAATTCAAGCCACTTTACATGGATTTAGACGATATCCGCCTTTTTCAGTGGGTCGCCTGATCAAAGTGCACTTTTAGTTGGCCGTCGGTCATTCATGGACCTTAACTACCCATCGTGCACTCACACCACAGCTTTTTCAAGTTAATCGTGGTGTACATTCTGAAATGAAAAAGACGTTTCTATTTTGATAATGATAGGAAACCAAAGCGATTTATCCGCGGACACCTAAATATCCGTTTATGGTACTCTTCAGCTTCTCATCGCGCACCATCCACTACCAGAGATACGGTGACGTGTATCGCATGTAAATCATGGCCCCGAAAATCAGGTAATCTGAATGAATCCATTTTTATTTTTTTCAATTTAGATCAGTTGGGTTGGTAAGATGGAATAATGCATGGCGATGAAGAGTTCTCATTTTGACCAACACCGTCGTGCGGTATCGTTCCACTCGACATCCCCCCCACAGCGTTCTGAACCGGGATAAACATATTTCGGTCTCAACTACGGTGAGATTGAAAGCGATCTCTCCGCAGATATCAAAATATTTCTGTTTCTTCTCACAGAAAGCCGACAGCTACCAGAGGGACGATGACAAGTACCGGTTTCTTTGTGCCAATGCTATCGATGTACAAACGGGCTTACGACATATAGATGCCACTCTTTGGCAAACATTTCCGACCAAAATCATGCGGGTACCGAATAGTAAATGGGATTGGAGGTCAACTGGAAAGCGAGATTACAATAGGCCATTGAGAGTACCGTCAACGAAAACTAAGTCACGTGATTGCATCTAGTAGTTTCGGGGATTGTGAACACACTTCTGCGTGGCTAGAAAAATGTGAGATCTATTCGGGAAACTTGATTTGAGACGAAAGTCCTCATTTTTTTCACAAATAATGTGCTCTCAGAAAGGGATTTCATTACAGAGCAATGAAAAAATCATTTATGTTCGGTCGAGCTAGGCATTCGACATGGCAAGTTGGGCTAGAGACGCATTTTTCTGAACAGTATTTGGGTGGAGGGTGAGGTGAATGCATTACTGGGCGCTTACAATCGAACCGCATTCATGGTGGAACGGCCGCTCAATGTACACTCGGTCCTCTCATTTGAAACGATGGCCATAAGCGATTCAAAGTACGCAACCGTGCGAATGAATTGATAGAAGAAGAATCACGTGATCTATTTGAACTATAGTCAAGTGAAACTGCGCCGGGAAGCATTCACAAGGCGGCAAAAGAGAAGCAAATAGGCTGAGAGAGAGAGAAAGATGGTTGGGAAGGTTCACGAGAAAGTGCACGGAGTGAAGGGGAACCGAAGGCAGACTTATACGTGCATAAATAGAACATTGTGGTATAAAACTGAAAACAACATTCGCATTGTGTAGATCAATGTATACAAATACAGACACACTAGGAAACAACCCGTTTGGGTAGAATTGTGGAGAAAGGCAGAAAAATAAAAATAGAAAACAAAAAAAAGATCGACAGGAAACATCGAGTCGTAGCGTAGCAGCAGTTAATCGGGGTAGATTGTGCAAAGAAGTAACCCCAACTGGATGAAAATGATCGAACTTTTGAAGGAAGAAGAAAGAGCGAGAAACCAGTACGCACACACGTGTAGGAACGCACGACAATCGATGAGAGAAAGGCTAGACGGGACCAGAGTTTTGGTAGCTCGTATACACAGCAAAGGCTTGGATAGTGGATGAATAAACGGGATGCAGAGGAGAAGGATGGATGAACGGAGTGGAATGGATAGAACCTGAACCACTTATGGACAAAGCCAGGAAAGCAGATATGAAATTCGTAAGCACGATGCAACTGAGGTCAACAGAGGAAATAATACAGCTGCGAAACGTAGAACCCGTTCCAGTAAGTTAAGGTCTCCATGGAAATTCATCGCATGTGTGGCGGAAGGAAGCGGAGGATTGAGACAATAAAAGAAGTAATAAAGGCAATACCGTTCGTGGTGAGAACTAAAGAGTTAAAATATCCCTGGATCCAGAAACCAGACGATATGCATGAGTGCCCGACCAAAGCAATGAACTGGACGGATCTGTACCATGGCCGTCGTGTGCAGAAGTCAGGGTGGTTTCAGTTAGAGTTGTGCTCGAGCCGGAACGGACACTGCTCAACAATGGGAATGTATCATCTTTGAACTCAGGGAAAATAGGTGACAGCGGAGGGGGTTGATCGAAAGGATTGAACCAGTGCCACGAGAATGGCGAACCACAGGCGGCCACAATGTTTTTCCAGCGCGACCGACGTTCACGTTTGGGTGGACTCCGTCCGAGATTTTCAATAGCCTGAAAACAGTAGGCATTGGAGAAAACGAGGTAAGTTAAATTGTGGCCAGTGTAACAAATCCTTAAAATATTACATATTAATCGATCTCGAATATACAATCGGAATTTCGGAAAGCGACCAGACGAACGGACCGGAACAGGAATGGATGTTCGATTTAGTGAGCATTTAACACAAGGGTTCAGAATTGCCATGTATGTGGACTCCAATTCTTGAAATTGCCGAGAGAGAGCCCTGAAATTAGCTGTTTCGTTAACCGAAACCATGAATCCTGAACATATCGAACAATAAGCAGTTTTCGGTGCCTGTGAACTGACATACGTACATATATACATGCCAATAAGGTGCTGTCCTGTTCAGTTTAGACCGGTCTCATGGGTGCAGCAGGCAACGGGCCGATCCCGAAAAGTGAAATGTCAATCAGTGTACCAGGGGAAAATACAGTGAATCGAAAGCAAAAGTCCTTGCGTGACAAGTCTATAGAATTTCCCAAACAGATGCTTCAGTCGCGTCCCCGCGTTGAATCTGCGATCCACTCTCTGGTGGGTCAGATTTTCTAGTCGAAGGCTCCGGTGAAGGATCCCAGAGAAAAGCCCGTTCGTCGGTGAGGGCTACCGTGAAGTATGTCGCACCCCAAAGTCCAAGACACTCATTTGGAAAACTCTCTTTTCCAACTGTACAGTTCTTCCTCTCACTCTTATATCTTAGAAGATTTTTCTCGTTTGCGCCACCTATGAGATATCACTCAGTATTCAAATAGTATGGTCAAACAACAAGAAAAAATCACATTGTTGAAAAAAGTCTCTTAGCCGCATTTAATGCCCGCACACTCTATCAGATAGGTTAGTAAGCTGCCCTAGTTAGAACCCTTGAAACTTTCAATTCATATGTACGCTGTGTCTCTGAAACACGCACACAGGACCCGACATCTCCGCGATCTCCAGATTCGACCTCGTACTTACGCTTTACTTTACGTGCGCCAGGCAATTCGGCTCGCGGTGTTGCTGTTTTCGGGATTGCACCAAGTGTCAAGGTCAAGCGTTCATTTCTTGACTGGAATCTGGTTAGTAGCCGAATTTGCGTTGTACATTTGAAACGTTCGTTAACGGTCAATAGATACAGAACAAGGCGTCAGTTTTCAGTCGTCATGTCCGTAAATGCACCAACTGATTGCAGTTTCACCGAAAATGAAGGATATATTCTACAAGGACGCCTTTCAACTGCCCGGTCGACGGAGAAAGTGGTGGTCTTTGGAGATGTCAATGCTCCAGTGGGATACCTGGACGAACCAGAAGCGCTTCTTGGTGGTACACATGTAATCCCAGCGGATCAGACGGACAAGGGAGAACGCCCTCTTCAATTTTACGCTGACTAAGGATTGTGGTTGTCAAGCATCAACTTCTCTCACAAAAAAGGCACAAGCCAGCTGAACCCCGTTGACACTAGACAGATCCCGTC